GACCCCCCCCCCTTTAAAAATTTAAAACGCCCCACAAAAAACTTTTTCCGCGGCGCCCCCCCCCCCGCCTCGCTCCGCCCACCGGTGCGACGACCCGACGATAGAATCACCACACACCCCAGCCAAGACATCTAAGCCCGCGACAAAGATCAACCCGGAGCACCTAACATCTAATGAGCGGGCGGGACCAGTCGTCCATCGTACGAGCGACGCCGCGCCCGATGGACGAGTTGTCATGTCCGGTCATCTGAGGCTGACTCACATCGGAAATCCGCGGCGGATCGCTGCATGATACGCGCGTGCATACGTGCATGACGAGACGATAAGTAACGATTGACTTGTCAGTCTCCCACTACTACTCTAATCGCGGTTGTCAGGCTATGTTCAAGTAGAATCAATCAAATAGAGACCCCCCCCACCACATTTCTGAACTCCACCCAACGGCTGGTAATCTCGGGGTTAATCTTGCAAATTCAAAAACTCACCGTAATATGGCGGTGGGTTGAAATTGCACACTGTCATCGGTTTGTCGCGAACCCAATAGGAATTCGTGTTGGAAAAATATCCAACGAAAACCTGGAACGATATTCATTTAGCAAGACCACCTTCAGTACTACAGAGGGGGGGGGTGTAAAACTTACCATGAGCATGAGTACGGTAGCAGCTGCTAGAACGTTTGCTGTAATCATACAGGCACGCGGTCGATCTTTGAGATTGTCTCGCACGCTCACCGATCTAAAACCAATCAATACATAAAAAATGTTCCAGAGAAATTTGAGAAAAAAATGTAAGTATGCAAAAGTAAGAAACGCCAAGGTATTTGACGGTAACGCAGTGTGCCTCCAAATCCCTTCCCTTAGTGGAGAATTTGTCTTTTATTCTACTATCCCTCGGCGACTCTGGTCGTCTGCGCTCTAACCGTAGGACTTGGTCAAGGAAAGGGGCACAGGGGCGCGGCCTAACGATACCCCTCCCAAATACGTTTCCGTCACGTGTTTTATATAGATACTGACAGATTACAGTAACCAAGTACTACTACATTACTTTCAAAGCTCACTACTCCTTTGCAGTGGTAGTGATGGTAGTGAAGCGGGGCGTAACTGGTCGACGAAGGGCGGGGAGAAGTAATGATCAGGAGAACAATTTTTTCGATTGTTGGCTTTTATTGGTTTTCCCTATTTAACTGGACCTATATACTCCATTAGTTGACTACTCCCCCCCCCACCCTTCCTCACCTTCCCTCTCGACGGTAGCTATCTAGGAAAAACTGTAGGATTACTAGAACTACTCCGGAAAGAGGTAGAAAGTGGGGGGATCTATAAAGAAAGGGATTGCCTTCCCTAACTACAGGGGGTACCCTGGTCGCAATTACAACAAATTTACAAGACGGGGTGGTACACCGTAACCGTTTTTGTGAGTGCACACAACACCGTATAAAACGCCGAATTCACTTAATTCTTGGAAAAAAGCAGTATTCAGCTGAAAACGTCACTTATGCTTTCTAGACCACTGTTGTCTGACAGCAGGATGGGGCAAACGAGGGGTTAATAGGGAGGGATTAATCGATATCGATCGATCACTTATTACGGAAGAAATGTAAAGAACTTACTTGTACGATGCTCGGCTGATGTGCACTAAAGCAAGAGGGATAAGAAATTTGTTGAGCACTTCGACGCAGTAAAACATCTGAGAAAGTAGGTTAAATGAACTGTTTGGGTAACCAAGGGGGCAGACAACCAACCTTGCAAATCGTATCGCCAAAAATCCATTGTTTTGAGATTTGGAAATGTACAAGAAGCGATAGATCACAGAGAACGAGCAAATCAGCACAACATATCACAAATATACAGTAGAGAATTTGACGGGGAACGGACGACGTGCGACCGAATAGCAGGACCACACCGACCTGGAATCGATAAGAGATCATGATAAGTGATTAGATTGATAGCCAGATCACTGCCTAACAGAGTTGACCAAAAACGTATTAAAGAGTACAGCTTTCGCTGAGGTTTCACTCAAACTGGCGAAAGTCGGCTAAGGAGGGGCATTTGAAGGAGCACAGTCATTGCCTTCAATGAAGACGAGAATTTCGGCCTAAGCCTAGAAGGAAATGAGCTCTAGGGTGAGCGGATCGATTTTTTTCGCACTAGAGGGGTTTTGCATGATGCTAATCTTAGTTTTCCACGAGGAGTTTTTTAATGCCCCCTCCCCTTAGCCGTCTTTTCCCGTCAAATCTTTACTCGGGTTCAGTTCCGTTTTTTTTTGTGTTTTCAGCTTCAATTCATACATAGCGCCGATTTTTTGTCGAAGCTGCTACTGGACCGCATAGTAAACAGACAAGTAAATAAATAAATAAAAAATAAGCGTAAGACAACGTCAATCGGTGGGATTTTCGAGTACGCCATGCATCCGACAGTCACTCGGAATTGTAGAAGCATTTGGAAGCATGGCAACCCCATGCTTCCAAATGCTTCTACAATTCCGAGTGACTGTCGGATGGCTTTGAGAAAAGCCCGTCATTTAGCACGATCACACAACCTCTCCCCGCTCACCACTTCTCCCAGCACGACGCCGGCAGTATGCCTCATACTGGGAGCGGGGAGGGGGGAGAGGGGGTTGAACTTCCGCTGGTTTTTTGTTAGCTCCTGTTGAACTGCACGTCTCACCTTGGCGAAAGCTGTAGACTGTTGCTAAGTGTAATTGAAGCCCATGCTGTTGCACAGCTTTAGAGGATTTTACAGGTTTCCACAGGAAGCATTGGCAATGAGCCAGCGAAATGTCCCCTCCAAGCCGAACTGGCGACCAAGACCCTGTGAGCCCGAGGAGGATTGGAATGTTGACCGGGAAAACAACAAAGGGGGTAATAGGTATAGGTCGGTATGTGATACTAATAGGAGCGGGAGGAGGGGGGGGGGAACTACGTCCTTGAAGTTGCGCGCGTGAAACGGGAAAAATCAAATAGTCAGATGTATTTCCTCTCGCCTCTCAACCTCCTGCCTCTCCCCACTCGGAGGAGAGAAGGAGAGGAAGAGAATACATCTGACTATTGATTTTCCCTGACATCTGACAATAGGGGCCATCCTATGTACAAGTCAGCTCTCAGACGAGCTACGATCAGTAGCTATCAGTTCAGTGGCTACGACTGAATGGGAATCCCTGTTGCCTGGGCGGGGAGCCCATATGGAGTGCCACCCCGAATAGCCTGAGAGCCGCCGACTTGCGGGCTTGGCCAAGCGCTGCCGCTTGCCACCACAGGCGGATGCAGCCGCCTCGACTCGAACTTGCAATCATAGAGAGGTCCAGTAATATAGTTTCATGGCTATTTCCGCCAAAATAAAAACAGGTCATGGGTACATTAAAGCGCAGATTCCTAATAATAACAAGAAAAACAGTCTTCAGAAGCTAAATTTAAGATTAACTTGGCAAGTTTAGAAAAAAACAGGCAGGACACAGTCCCTTCTAGACTGCGCAGTAAAATTAAGCCGCAGCGCGACGTGTCGATGCACAACAACGGTACGCTCATTTTTCGCCTAAGCAGGCCACGTGGCTTACAGGTGGGGAGCCGGAATTAACGTCGTCTTGCCCTCCACCTGGCGCTCCGCTATTGAATCCGACTGGCCTACGTGTGTGCTCAGTTGTTGTGGGCCAGTCGCCATACATTTAATTTCAGCGCCGCCAATTCCTGGATCGGGTACTCGTATGCTCCAAAGTTCTTTAATAATTTTGTAATTAAAAATAGAACAATTATGACGAAATAAATAACACAAGTAACAAACAAACCTTCCATGCGACCCAAAGATTGCCAACTACTCCTATGACAATCGTAGCCACATAAGCACAAGTATTCACGCGTAATATGGTATCGATTATACTTCGTGATACATCTGGCATTTGGTGTTCTGGAACATTTTTTGATTAAAAATTGATTGTTGAGGGGAAAAATCAGCCATTTTTGGAGATGGTCGGAAAGAAAACGGAAATCGGATACCGCAATGAATGTAATAAGGAGACACAAATCGAGAAATCCAAAGAATGTTGGCAATTTGTATAAAAAGAATTCGAGAGCGAACATGGTGCTGTATAAGATCCCAACGCACACCCATAGAGAAGTCGATCTAGACACCTTGGTTGACGAGCAAATTCCTGTATCGTAACGAAGCTTCGATCGTGCTCACATCATCTGAGAGTCATGCTGAGGAGCTGAACAGCATTAGAAGAGCTTAAGTGAGGCGCCGCCCAGACTGGGAATTCCCCGTGTATCGCATTTTATTATCACGTGGGACGCTTAAGCTTGGAAGGGCTATCCAGAAATGCTTATGACTTCTAGGAAGAGAAATGCAGCGCTACTCGGCTTGGACGGGCATCTCGCTAATTTTTCACTGATTCACTGCCGATTTCTCCCGTGAAACTTGTAAATTCCTGCAAAGCTATGCAATAGCATGAGCTTCGTTTACGATTAACAAGATTTTACAGGTCACACCAAATTGTTACGTGTAATTTAAGAGGAACTAGCAAATCAACAAGTGGAAAGGCAAAATGCCCCTACCAAGCCGAACTACGTCGAAGAGAATATGGAATGGAAACCACACTACCTTCTGTAATGTCAAGAAATCCTCTGGAATCGATCTACGTGAAGAATGTGCCTCCGCCCTCTCACAGAAGTGTCAGAGATCAGTCCTCTTTCCGGGTGATGCTTGGATTGCGCGATGGTCTACAACTGGCTTGGATATGGCTCCGCTAACGCGGTATGCTATGTTGAATAGCAAGCGTAACTGGGATTCATATTATTTTTCCCAGATGACCTTCTCCTGTGTGAACACCACATTCCCTGAGATGCACAGCAGTGCGTTCGCTATCTGTCCATACAATTTACCCCTTGAGCCGCGTTCATGGTTCGCGACTTGATAGGTCCACGCCCCACCGCTAATCCTTCGACCACTGTGAAAGCGACAGAAGTGGTGTTACCCTTGTCCAGCGATTAGTGCTGAAGCGCGATCCATCGTAGTCTTAGGAGTTCCAAAACGAGCGACTGAACCGCTCGTGTTGCGAAGTATGAACCCTGCCTCAAATGTACAGAGCATGATTAGCTGAGAATCCCATCAGGGGTTGTACTTGGTGGTTGGGAAAGGGATCATATTTGGTCTGTGGGATAGTATGTGGTCTTGACAGAAATTTGTCGAGCTGCGAGAGAACTTATTCGCTTGTTGGTCGTTGACTCCTCCCCTTAGATGGCGGCGCCATCAAAGTCCTATACAACTACTATTTTCTATAATTGAAGGTAGTAGTCGTTTACTGACGATCCCCCCCCCTCCACCACTCGAGGCAGCTTTTGCTTTTTTTCGATGGAGGAACCGTGGAAGTTTTCGGAAAACTGAGAAATGGGAGGAAGTGGCTCAGGAAGATGGTGAGCGGGATAGAGAAGGGGGAGGCCCGTAACAGGTTAGGTAGATTCGGGAAGGTAGTACTGACAGCGCCATTTCACCCATACCAGTCTAATAAGAGCCCGGACACGAAGTGGAGTGTCGCCCACCCAGGGATAAGATATGAGCTTTGGCCTTCGAGATCGAAAAAAGATTTGGGGAATTTATTACGACGTGACGTCAAATAACATGTATTTCATAGAAGTAGAGAAGGCCGCCTCAAACGAAGATATGCATCACAGACCAATGAAATGGCCTCTGGTTTACATAGCACGAAGAAGACCCGAGGAGGCTGCCTAGGGACTCTAATACAGATTGATTGGCTAAGAGAAGCCAAGCTAATCCGCTGGTAGCGACTTATCAGAGTGACAACTTCAAAGGCAAAGTTGGTGGCAGGTTAAAGCGCCCTTTGCGCACTGAAGACTCCAGTGGTTTTTACTATAAGTCCAAGACAGTAGGGATATATAGTACCCGAAACTGCACGTGATATTAAAAACCTAAGTTCCGTGAACGCAGAAAACATCCCGTTCGAGCCTACGCAGCGTGTCGCCACCAGGCCATGGGTGGAGACTGGCTCATTTCTGAGCCTCTCCCGTGGAAGCTCCAAGGCACGCTTCAACCCACTTGTGTGCGTTCACGGAACCGACGCGTTTAGTTTCACGGGGGAATTTGGCATACTGTATACCCCTGAAGGTCAGAGCGGGAAAGAGACCGGTCGTTTACAGGGGAAGGCATGTTTCAGCTGAGAGTGGTTTGAGTTAGTGAGACTGGAGGTAAGAACTCAGGAGAAAATGGTGGCATTTCAGTTCCAAGCACTACACCCCTGCCGGAGTGCGTGGAGTAAGTACGACGGCCGTGAGGGTCCAGACGAAAAAGAGGCAGAGACGCAGGTTTAAAAGAGTCGGTCAGGGGTCACCCAGCTTCTGCAGAGACATCTCACTTAACCGGCAGTTATGCTTTGTATGCATTCTCCCCCTGGTGTGGAAGGTTGTACTGAAGATAGTGTGGAGGGGCGCTGTATTGGCGTGGGGGGTTCCTCACTCCAGTAGCGTGTTCTGGCCATGAAACGGGAACTTTCGAAACGTATAAAGTCATATAAAGTATGATAAGAAAATGGAAAACTAGAAAATCGCAACTGATCAATTTCATAGGAATAAGCCATGAACCCGCCTTTCACTAACCAACGTTTTATAGCGCAAAAACAATAAAGTTTCAAGAATGTTCTAGAGAATCTCAAGAGAACGACATAGTCGCTGAAGGAGGAGCCTCTGTAGACAAGCCGATTCCCGCCATAACAGCTTGAGAATGGCAAGCCGATTTTCACCATAACTACCTGAGGAGTCATCAAGAGAGTGGATTGACCAGGAATGCCAGGGAACTGAGGGAGTGGAAAAGGGAAAACAAGACTTTACCCAAGAATGCTCAGCACCGCAAGCCATGGCGAGGGGGCAAATCCGCTTAGAGAAGAGGGCAGCTGAAGAACTTGTACTTACTGGGAAACCGTAATCTGGTCAAGGGCAGAGCAGACGCCAACTGTGATGAAAGAATTCGCGTAGGTATTTCTTTCATCACAGTTAGCGACCATAAGTAATCCAGAAATGGTAATTTTGCCGCGTCTCCGACTAAAGGGGTGCTAGTTAGGTGGGGGGGGGACAATATCCAGAAAACTTTTCCCTCATCAATACGATGTACCCCAGTGTCCCCCTACATTTGAACGGCCAATTCTGACCCTTCAAGGATCATTGAGTAGTGGGAAACAGGGCGCATTCCCATTTTTTAGGGCCATATGTAGATGGGGCCGTCAACATGACTGGCAACGACAGCTGGCTTAACGGAAATGCTCAGGATTTATGAAAGTGGAAATCGAAGATGTCTGGACCCTATAAGCTTAATGCTCGCACAGAGTTCAACGGTGAAGCACTTATGGTTGATTAGTCCCGTCGGCATGAGCTGCGAAGTCCAAGAAAGTGCTTCAAATAAGCCGAGAGGTCTGGGAAATCCACAAAAAGCTCATTGCGCTGAATGATCCCCGGAACAACTAACTAATAGTTTGAGAGAAATGTTTACGAGAAAGATCTGATGATAATTACTGTCGTCAATTGAATCATCGTGAATGACGAGTGGTATTTTGGAACGACGTAAATATCGCTTGTTCGGGGTTTGATCCGATTTAGGGAGCGCCAGGTTTTACATGTAATGTCCTAGGAGAATAGTTGAATCATCATGACTTATTGTGATCCCTAGAAAGAGCAGCGCAATTCTTGGAGACGTCCTTCAGTTCAGAAGCTTAATGGCAAACTGTACGCTCACCCACGAGGTTCCTAATCCTTGTCATGTGCGAGGAGAGAGGGTTCGTAGTAGTAAAAGTGCGACTTT